CATGTATGAAAGAAAAAACATTAAGATACATATCTAAGGGTTCATTTTCCTGACATCACATTATCTGACCTTTTCTGCTTGACTCGTACATATACTAGATATTGCAAATAAGGGAAACCATGGGACCTATGTTTCTTTGGGCCTGGCTTACTTCACTTAATATAATTTTTTCCAAGTTTTTCCATTCCCTAACAAATGGGGCAATGTCATTCTTTCTGATGGAGGCATAGAATTCCATTGTGTATATATACCACATTTTCTTGATCCATTCATCTACTGAGGGGCATCTGGGTTGGTTCCATATCTTAGCTATGGTAAATAATGCTGCAATAAACATAGTTGTGGTGGTAGCTTTAGTGTGGTCTTGTTTGTAAGCATTTGGGTAAATGCCCAAAAGTGGGATTGCTTCGTCATAGGGGAGTTCTATGTGAAGTCTTTTGAGGAACCTCCATACTGCTTTCCAAAGTGGTTGGACAAGTTTACATTCCCACCAACAATGAAGTAAGGTTCCTTTCTGTCCACATCCCCTCCAGCATCTGTTGTTGTTAGAGTTCTTGATTTTTGCCGTTCTTTCTGGGGTGAGGTGATATCTCAATGTTGTTTTGATTTGCATTTCTTTTATGGCTAGGGATGTTGAACATTTCTTCATGTCTATTGGCCATCCTTCTTTCTTCTTCAGAGAAGTTTCTCTTTAAGTCTTTCGCCCACTTATTTATTGGGCAGTTGTTTCTTTGGGGATTTGTTGTTGGGGGGTATAATTTTTTGAGTCCAAGTATATTTTAGATATGAGACCCTTGTCCGTTGTATGGCTAGTAAAGATCTTCTCCCAATCTGTGGGCTTTCTATTGATCTTGCTAGCTATGTCATTTGCCCTGCAGAAGCTCTGCAACTTTATGCAATCCCATTTGTCCAACCTTTCTTTGATTTGTTGTGTTTCCGGGTCTCTATTCAAACAATTTCGGCCTGTGCCAAGGAGACCTAGGGTTTCTCCTATTCCATCCTGTAATGTTTTCAGAGTGTCTGCTTTGACTTCAAGGTCTTTGATCCATTTGGAGTTGATTCTGGTGCAGGGTGATATATAAGGATCTAGCTTTAGTTTTCTACATGTAGTTAACCAATTTTGCCAGCACCATTTACTGAAGAGGCTGTCTTTCTTCCATTCTATTGTTTTAGCTCCCTTATCGAAGATTACATGGCTATAGGTCTGGAGGTTCATTTCTGGGTTTTCAATTCTATTCCATTGGTCCTAGGGTCTGTTCTTATGCCAGTACCAAGCTGTTTTGATTACTATGGCTTTGTAGTAGAGTTTGAAATTTGGTATTGATATTCCTCCAGCAGTGTTCTTTCCGTTGAGGAGTGTTTTTGCTATTCGGGGTCTTTTATTGTTCCATATGAATTTTTGGATTGCCTCTTCTATTTCCTTGAAGAATGAGGTTGGAATTTTGATAGGTATTGCGTTGAATTAGTAGATAGCCTTGGGAAGTATCGCCATTTTCACGATGTTAATCTTTCCAATCCAGGAGCATGGGAAGCTTTGCCATTTTTTTAGTTCTGTGTTGATTTCCTTTTTCAAGATTTTAAAGTTTTCATCATAGAGGTCCTTCACTTCTTTAGTTAAGTTAATTCCTAGGTATTTTATTTTTTGTGGGGCTATTACAAATGGAGTTGCTTTCCTAATTTCAGCCACACTTTTCTCATTATTGGCATACAGAATAGCCTTTGAATTTTGGGGGTTAATTTTATACCCTGTTACTTTGCCAAAGTTTTGAATCAGCTTGAGTAGTTTGAGAGTGGAGTCTATGGGATTCTTTAAATACAAGATCATGTCATCTGCAAAGAGTGAGAGTTTTATTTCTTCTTTCCCTATTTGGATCCCCTTTATAAGTCTAGAACTTGTCTTATTGCTGTAGCTAGGCATTCTAATACTAGATTGATAAGGAGTGGCGAGAGTGGGCATCCTTGTCTTGTTCCTGAGTTAAGAGGAAATGGCTTTAGTTTTTCACCATTGAGTATAATGCTGGCTGTAGGTTTGTCATATACAGCCTTTATTGTATTGAGGAATGTTCCATGGATTCCTAATTTTTCCAAAACCTTCATCATGAAGTGGTGTTGGATCTTGTCGAATGCTTTTTCTGCATCTATTGAGATAATCATGTGGTTCTTATTCTTGCTCTTGTTGATGTGATGAATAATATTAATTGATTTGCATATATTGAACCAGCTTTGCATCCCTGAAATGAAACCTGTTTGATCGTGGTGTATGATTTTTTGGATGAAATGTTGAAGTCAATTGGCCAAAATTTTGTTGAGAAGTTTTGCATCAATATTCATCAAAGAGATGGGTCTATAGTTCTCTTTCTTTGATGAGTCTCTGACTGGTTTTGGGATGAGGGTTATGATGGCTTCATAGAACGTGATCGGTAGTGAGCTTTCTCTTTCAATTTCATTGAAGAGTTGGAGGAGTATTGGTGTGAGCTCTGCGCTGAAGGCCTTGTAAAATTCTGCTGTGAAACCATCTGGTCCTGGACTTTTCTTAGCTGGGAGGTCTCCTAGTGCTGTTTCTATTTCAATGCTTGATATGGGCCTGTTAAGATAGTTTAACTCATCTTGGTTTAGTTTTGGCATGTCAATATTTGCTAGAAAAAGGTCCATTTCTGTCAAGTTCTCAAACTGATTAGCATAAAGTTTTGAGAATATTCCCTTATAATGTTCTGAATCTTGGTTGTTTCCGTGGTGATGTTTCCATTCTCATCTCTGAGTTTATTAATTTGGGTGTGTTCTCTTCTTTTTCTGATAAGATTTGCTAAGGGTCTGTCAATTTTGTTACTTTTTTCGAAGAACCAACTCTTTGTTTTGTTGATTCTTTCTATAGTTTTTTTGGATTCTAATTCATTTAATTCTGATTTAATTTTGATTATTTCTTTCCATCTATTGGATTGGGGTTTATCTTGCTGCTCTTTTTCAAGGAGGTTTAGATGTGTCATTAAATTGTTAGTTTCAGATCTCTCCAATTTGTTGATGTAGGAGCTCAGAGCTATAAACTTGCCTCTGAGTACTGCCTTTGTTGTGTCCCAGAGGAGCTGGTAATTTGTGTGTTCATTTTTGTTGAATAGCATGAACATTTGGATTTCCTTTCTAATCTCTTCCATGACCCACTCATGATTCAGCAGTGTGTTGTTCAGCCTCCATGTGATGCCGGACTTTCTTTGGTGGCTTTTGGTATTGAGTTCTAATTTTATTCCCTTGTGGTCAGAGAGGATGCAAGGTATAACTTCAATGTTTCTGAATTTAGACAAGTTTGCTTTGTGGCCTAAAATGTGGTCTATTTTAGAAAATGTTCCATGTGCTGCTGAGAAAAACATGTATTCTGATGCTGCTGGGTGAAATGTTCGGTAGATGTCTGTTAAGTCTAGTTGATCTATGCAGCTGTTTAGATCTGCGGTTTCTCTGTTGAGTTTTTGCCGAGTTGATCTATCTCGTGGGGAGAGTGGTGTGTTAAAATCCCCAACAGTTAATGTCTTTGGATCTATATGGGATTTGAGGGAAAGTAGTGTTTCTTTGATAAATTTGGGTGCTCCATTGTTTGGCGAATAGATATTTAGAATTGTAATATCCTCCTGAAAGAGAGATCCTTTAATTAGTATGTAGCGACCTTCTTTATCTCTTCTCACCAATTTTAATTTGAAGTCTATTTTATGTGATATTAGGATTGCAATTCCCGCCTGTTTATGGGGGCCGTTTGCTTGGAAGATTTTGTTCCAGCCTTTAACTTTGAAAATGTGATTGTTTTTACGGGCAAGATGTGACTCCTGCAGGCAGCAGATAGAAGGGTCTTGTTTTTTAATCCAACTAGACAGTCTATGTCGCTTAATTGGAGAGTTCAGTCCGTTAACGTTAAGAGATAGGACTGAGAGGTATTTGGGAGTTCCTGCCATGTTATCCACCTTCTTGGGGGCTGCAAAAACTGGGTTCTTCCTGTGGTTCTTGGATTCTTAGTTTGCGTGCAGTTTCTTGGCCTTTATTGCGGTCTTGTTGGTTTTCTATGTGTAGGACATCTTTAAGAATCTTTTGTAGGGCTGGTTTGGTGGAGATGTATTGTTTCAATTTTTCTTTGCTATGGAAGGTTTTTATTTGCCCTTCAGTTATGAAGGAGAGTTTAGCTGGGTACAGTATTCTTGGTTGATAGTTGTTTGTTTTTAGGGCATGGCATACTTCATTCCAGGCTCTTCTTGCTTTGATTGTCTCTGCTGAGAAATCTGAGGTGATTCTGATTGGTTTCCCTTTATAGGTGATTACCCTTTTCTCCTTGACAGCTTTACGGATCTTTTCCTTGGTCTGTGTTGATCCTGTGTGGATTATAATGTGTCGGTGGGAGGTCCTATTCTGGTCTGGTCTATTTGGGCTTCTAAAAGCTTCTTGTATCTGAATAGGCCTATCTTTTTGTATGTTTGGGAAGTTCTCTGCTAGGATCCTGTTAAACAAATTTCCTAGACCATTAACTTCTGTTTCTAGGTGCTCCTCTACACCCATTATCCTTAGATTAGGCCTTCTGATGGTGTCTTCCAAGTGTTGGATAGATCTATCATATTTCTTGGACTTGTCTTGGATGGTTGTATGTTCTTTCTCTATAATATCTAGGCTGTCTTCAATCCCTGAGATTCGATCTTCTGCATGATCTAACCTGCTGTCAAGACTCTCTACTTTGTTTTTTATCTCTTTTCCTTCTAGTTGGTCAGCTTTGATGGCTTCAAGTTCTTTGTTGAAGCTCTGTTTTAGGTCTTGTACAAATTTCTTTACTTCCTTTATTTGGTGTTCAGTATTTGTTCTCAAATCACTTAGTTGATTGGTTATGGTTTCTTTGGATTCCCATTCTTTCTGTTGGGTTTCATTCAGCATTCCCTTTGTGGTCTCCCTGGCTTCCTTCAGGTCTTTATTAATGGATTCCATGAATTCCTTAAGTGATCTTTGTGTATTCTCTACCTGGTCTCTCAATTTCTTAGGGTTTTCTATTTCTTCCAGCATATCCTCCTCAAGAAGCTAACAGAACATCACTTCTTTGTTACTGACACTGTTTCTTCTTCAACAAGTTATACAACAGCCAAGTCTGCTGCTCCTACATTTGGTGTCCTTTCAAGTCTGCCATTGCCTGTTCCCACAATGGAAACTTCAACACCGATAAGCCAAAATGGTTTTGGGTACAAGATGCCAGATGTCCCTGATGCATTTCCAGAACTCTCAGGATTGTGTCACAACTCACAGATATGAATGAACAAGAGGAAGTATTACTAGAACAGTTTCTGAGTTTACCTCAACTAAAACAAATTATTAATGACAAGGGTGATTTAGTAAAAAGTATTGAGGAATTAGCAAGAAAACTCTCCTCTTGGAGCCCAGTTTAGAAGCCAAAAGGCAAACTGTTTTAGATAAGTATGAGTTACTTACACAAATGAAATCTACGTTTGAAAAGAAGATGCAGAGACAACATGAACTGAGTGAGAGTTGTAGTGCAAGTGCCCTACAGGCAAGATGGAAAGTCGCTGCACATGAAGCTGAGGAAGAATCTGATAATATTGCTGAAGATTTCTCGGAGGGAAAAACTGAAATAGATGATTTTCTCAGTAGCTTCATGGAAAAAAGAACAGTTTGCCACTGTAGAAGAGCCAAGGAAGAGAAACTTAAACAAGTGATAGCAATGCACAGCCAACTTCATGGTCCATTACAGATTTTCCTGAAAACATGGACCGCCAAGAGAGAAATGAGAAATAAAACTAAGTACATTATTTTAGATTTAAGGTTTGTAAGTTGGCATTTCATTGCAATGGCTGAATTCAGATGTACTCTACATTGTTTAAAGAACTGAGATTGTTTTTTATATAGATTAGAATGATTATGATCTTTGCTTGGAAAATTTTTCTGCAGTATTTGCCCTAAAAACGCCTATTTATCATAGATAAATCCTGTCCTTTTTAAATTTCACTGCTATTCTTATAATTAAATACCTTATGCATGTGATTTTAGTTTTAATATTTTATGAAAAGTACTTAATCTTGTACTTTTAATTTGAAACTGCCTCATTTCTTTATCAAGAATGATATCTTCTTTAGATTTTTTTCCTCTCAGTAATTTTTAAGTACTTTCAGCTATGGAAAGATACCTACACCCTCTCTTTTTCTTTCTTTTTGAAGAAAACTTTCAAAAGCAATTTGTTTTTAAATATTCATAATACCAGAAAATATCAAACCTTCCAATGTGCCATATATATACCTATAACATATAAATATACCTATAATATATATATATATACCTATAATAAATAAAAAATTCAAAAAATGTCTTCATTACATTGCTCATGTAATTGTAACCCCTCTGTATGGTATTTTCACAATAATAAAACTTAAAAAAATTAATTTAAAAAAAAATTTAAAAAATATCTCTATGGAAACCTAATCATCTTTTTGATCCTTTCACAAGTCCTCTAAACTGAATGATATATTTTACATGTTACTCTGGTACCCCTACATATTTTTTATTGTCCTAAGGAAACTCTTTAAAAGATAGTCTATTGATTGATATTTTGTGTGTCAACTTCCCAAAATATGTTCTGCCCTCATATCCAACCAAAAAATTCTCATCTTCATCTTCCTTTTTGAAAAGTGAACACCTGTCATTTAGATAAGAATCAATACATGATTTTATTCATCAGATATTCAAACTGTCATCTCAGTTGTCAGGAATAATAGAGTTCAATCAATATACTCATTTATTCTAGATCAAACTCTTTGATACATTCTCATGGCATTGATAACAAAACCAAGCATCAACATATATGACTTTATTTCATCTCATGTTCTCTCTGGAATGTTTAGAAAATTATCTCTTAAATGTACAGCCACAGAGTAGCTATATTTAGTTGATTAATAAATTATTTTATTTACTAATCTATTTATTTCAGTAATGGGACTTGAACTCAGGGACTCAGTGTTATTGTTCCTTAAATTTTATGCTCATGGCTAGTGCTTTACCATTGCAGCCACATAAGAGTCTTACAGATTTATATACCTGTGTGGGAATCGAGTCATGATCTGAGATGTCAGCCTGCTGAGTAGCTAGGACTACAGGTATGAGCCACCAGTGCCCAGTTTTATACTTAGTTTATTTTAAATTAGATTTATTCAGAAAGGCATCTAAGCGAAAATGCTATTTTTCATATTTTAAGATCCAAACTACCTCCAGAGTCCTCTCCTCATTGTTGATGGACTCATTTGCCCAGGGATGACTATTATTTGGGTCCTTATAAGAAATTTATGACAACATGTGAAAAGAAACAAATTTGTAATTTTATACTGGAAAGTCAGAGTCTAATTTGCAGGACTAAACATAGTGAATACTCTCCAGCTGTGAACGCGTGAAAACTATAGACAAGGATGATCAAGAATGGCCTCAGCTAGGATTCTAACCAGTGAATTCGAGGCTAGTAACCAGGGCAAATACAAGGCTTCATGGTTCAAATTTGATTATGAACTCTAAGGGGAGCAATGGACAATCAGCCTCATCTAAAAGACTAGCTGGGAGTGGGATTCTGCAGACGTTGTTGGTCATGAGCTTTTCCAACCTAATAGGGATTGAGATTTATTTACACATAATCTCTCCAGAAGAGGTCACTAACACCATGACTGTCCATTCATTGAATTGTGTCACACTAAACAATGCCATTTCATCAAAATTTATTTAGAATTACCAAGATCATCTTGAAAGACATTTAAGATGACCTCTTTCTTTGTTCCTTCTGAAAAACATTGATGGATGAATCTGGGAAGATGAAGGACAAAATTCACTCACTTTTGAGGCTGGGAAGGTGGCTCAGAGTGGTCAAGTGGTTGCCTCCAATACATGAGGCCCTGGGTTGGATTCCTCAGCACCATATAAACAGTAAAAACAAAAACAAAAAAAAATACAAAGGCCAGAAGTGGCACTGTGGCTCTAGTGGTAGTGTTCTAGCCTTGAGCTGAAGAGCTCAGTGACAGTAACCAGGCCTAGAGTTCAAGCCCCACAACACACAAAGAAAAAAAATCACTGTTTTTGTTATTGTTCTCGTATGCCCGACAATGTTTTCTTCTCATAAGAATTTTGTTGAATATGAGATTCTAAACTTGTCTTTCTGTTTTAGTTTTGCTCTATTTTGTTATGTCTTTCTTCCATACTTTAAATATTCTCCTCCATTTAATTGTTGCTTGGAAAAATTTAGAAGATTTTGATAAAATCTTTATCTTTGTCCCTCTGAAGTAAGGCTCCACTATGTGTGATTTTCTTTCTTTTTTAAATTTAATTTAATTTTATTGTAAAGGTGATGCAAAGAGGCTTTATAATTCCATAAGTAAGGTAGTGAGTTCATTTCTTGTCAAGCATTGTTACCCCTCCCTCATTTTTTCTTCCACTTTCCCTCTGACTCACCACAGCTAAGAGACATTGTGTTAGAACCAGACAGTCTTTCTTTTTCTCTTAAAAATATATTTTATTATTACTGTTCAGCTAATACACAGATGTATTGTACAGGTAATGTTATAATTATGTAAGTCAGATAATAAATGTATTTCCTTTTGAACTCTGCCAGCCATTCCTTTGCTCTCTCCCAGTTTTTCTCTCCCATCCCTACTCACAGTTTTAGTTTAATTTAAATTTAAATTTTATTATCCAGGTGTTGTACCTAGAGGTTACATCACATAAGTAAGTTAGTCAGTATATTTCTTGCTAACTTTTTACTCCTGCCTTCATTTTTCTCCTGCTTTCCCTTCCCCCAAGCCCTCCCCCAAAGTTGTACAGAACATTTCCAACATACGGTTTTGTGAGTATCACGGTTGAATTGGTTCTCATCTTTGTCCTTTGAATCACCATTTTTTGTTACCCTTCCCTAATTGATATAAACATTTATACAATACCCAGGGTACCAAAATCAAATACAGTGACAACAGGAATTATACCATAGGGGAAAGTTCATGTAAAAGAAACAAAAAAAATCCACATAGTACATTAAAAAAACAACAACAACAAAGAAAAACCTCCTGTGCCCATATCTTGGGATTCATTTTTCTTAGCATCATCTTATATGATCATATGTACATAGCTATTGAGCTATTCTGCTCATCTGCTAAGATTATCCTAGATGTATACTATTTATTACACATAAGGGAAACCATGGGACCTATGTTCTTTTGGGTCTGGCTTATTTCACTTAATATGATTTTTTTTCCAAGTCCTTCCAAATGGGACCGTGTCATTCTTTCTGATAGAAGTATTGAATTCATATATATCTTCTTTTTGGTTGGTCATGGGGCTTGAAATCTGGGCCTGAGCACTGTTCCTTAGCTCTTCAGCTCAAGGCTAGAGCTCTACCACTTGAACTACATGCCACTTCTGGTTTCTCTGTTGATTTATTAGAGATAAGAGTGTCAAGGACTGTCCTGCCCAGGCTGGCTTTGAACACAATCCTCAGATCTCAGCTTCCTGAGTAGCTAGGATTATAAGCATGAGCCACTGGCACCCAGCATATATCACATTTTCTTGATCTATTCATCTATTGAGGGACAGTCACTTCATTTTCTACATACTGTCTAATGAATACCACTGCTGCATTTGTTCTCCCTTTGTCCCACCTTTTCTGTGCCCCCCCATCCTTCAAATGACAAATAAAGGAAAATAACAAAAACAGCAGCACCAACACCAAAAATCTCATTTCCATCTCTTGGAATTCATTTCTTTAAATATTATTTTATAAGAACATGTGCACATAGTGATTGTTCCTTTTTGATATGCTGCTATGAATATCTGCCAATGGTCTCACTGTGTGGTGGGTGACTTTTTTATTTCTGCTGTTGGTGTTCTGCCATTAAAATATGATTTTTTAAAATATTTGCTTTGTTTTCTGTAAGCTTCTGGAATTTCATATAAATTTTGTTTAATTTTCAACTATTATCATTTGATCAGCTGTTCTGGCCTTTGTATTCTTGCTTCTCTGGTATTCATTATACATATATGATACCTTCAATAATTATCACATAGATGCTGAATATTTTATTTCTTTTAATTCATTCCTTTTTCTATCTCCTCAATTTCAGATTGGTAACTGTCTATTGAAAAGTCTTTAAGCTCACTGATATCTTCATATGTATTTTTCCCACTACACTGATGAGTTCATCAAAGTCTTTTGTTTTCTGTTTTATACTAATATCGTCAGTGATATTTTAAAAATTCTTTCTAATGTTACTGTCTCTCTCCTTACCTGTATGTTTAATTCATGATGTCCAATTTGTTCCATCCATGTAGTAATTATGATTATATAATTCTTTGAAATTGTCAATCTGAAAATTGTTATATTGGATTAAAAATTCATACATATTTTCTGAACCTGGCCCTTAGTGTCTATTAAATTTTTGTGAAAAGACAAATGCATCAAGTACATAGAATACAAGTAAAAAACGCCAGTAGTATGAGGATTTATATTTATCTGGCTGGGCATTAAGATTTTTTCATCTTTGCTGTACTTGTAGGTATTAAAAGTTCTTTACTTTTTATATTCTTGTTTTATTTATTCCCCCTGCTGGATTTGGGGAAAATAAAACACCTTGCTGTTATATAGCCTTTGTTATATCACCATCAATCACTTATACCCAAACCCTGTGGTAGGTTTGAAAGGTATCTGTAAAGATATTTGCTTTGTATTTTATACCTAAGTTTCTCTTGCTTTCCGTTTCCCTCTGTTTTCTCCGTCCCAGAACCATCACCCCAGTCTCTCTCTCTTTCTCTTTCTCTCTCTTCCTCTCTGTCTTCCTTTCTACTCCAAAATTTTCAGTTTTGACTTTCCTAATACATGACAGAAAGGCAAGAAGAGGCTGGGTTTTCAAACAATCCTTTCCCTATTTCAAATCACACAATAGTGGCACAGTTTTTCTTAACCAGAAGCCCATTCTTGCCAAGAACAAGATATTTTGGGAGCATCTCTTTTCCTCGGATGTCAGAAATTATTAAAATCTGAGCATTGTGATGGGAATTTGTCAAAACTCTTACAGGTAAATTTCATAGAAATATATCTTCATTACTCCCACTAAAGAAGTTTCTCACCAAGTTGTAACTGAACCTACTTTTCACCCAGTCTAGCAACTTAAAGATGTTATTGTGTGTGAGAGGAAACTGAGTTGATTTGAACATGGGTTACCCCAACCTATCTTTGTGTTAACAATCCATCCCAAATGTATTATCATGCACTGGAGTTAATAATATATGCAATTTATAAGGATTAACTGCAAAGGCATTGAAAGTCTGAAAATGAATCTGATTTTTAGATTTAAAGGCAATTTCTAGCATATTAAACTTGTGCATGTTCTTAAACATCATAAACAAATGAAGCATTCTACATACTCACGATACATGTATGAGTGATGTGGGGGCAATATTGAAGTAGACTCAAGCTCACAGGAATGAGAAAATATCATCATATTATCCAAATTACACAATGAACCCGGTGGTAGCTATCTACCCACATATTCTAATAACAATATCAGAGGAACTTCATTAGGAAAGTCTTTTTTTATGTGGTGCTGACCAATCGAACCCAGGGCCTCAGGCATGCAAGGCAAGCACTCTACCACTGAAAAAAAGAAAAAAAGAAAAGTCTTTTTTATGAACTGATAAATTTACATTTTCCCTTAAACTTGATGATGTTTTAACTCGTGGATCTACATTACTAAAAGTTGAAAAGTTATTAGCAAGCAGACCTACCTGATGTGACATTTTACAAATTTCTCTGCCAAAGTTTCTATTCTTTGTTATAATTGACATCTTGCTGTGATTCCCATTACCCAGTGCAGAAGAAAGTCATTTGTGGATAAACGCAATAAAATATACTTATCGAATTTTGTTCCCCTTTTTTGAACCTAGAATTCATCATTATTGACTGGTGCATTATAAAATTAAACTAAAACTAGGCCACAGTGGGTCATGTTTTCATAATGCTAGGTACTCAAAGGCAGATATCTGGAAGAGGGAAGTTCAAAGCCTGTATAGGAATAAGACCGCATGACTCTCCATCTCTGATGAACTAGCAAAATGCTTGTGATGGTTCTAGCTATGAGCCTCAGCCATGAACAATAAGGCTGAGTCAATGTGAATTTTTCTAACGCATTTATAAGATTATTTCTTTGTTGCTTTTTATGTCCCTCCCCTACAGTATAATCCCAGCTTTCACTGTATTTGATGTGGGTATAATTTTTGGAGGGGAAGGTGACAAATCGTTTCCATAGGGATACAGGTGGAGCCCTTGCAACAATGAGATGTACAAGTCGTTATGTTGAAAACGAAATTTACAACTTTTGGGCGGGGGGGGAGGCGGAACGATGGGGGGCGTTGGGGAGGATGGGAAGGGATGGGAAGGGTAAATAAAGGAGGAGGCTACAATGCTTGATAAGAAGTGTACTCATTATCTTCCCATGTAATTGTAAGTCCTCTGTACAGTAATTTCACATTAAAAAAAATAAAGAAAGAAAGCTGAGTCAGAAATTAAGTCGCTGAGCTCAAACACATCCATCATCACCATCACCACCACAAGAAGTGATACCAGACAGAATACACCATGTGTTCTTACTTTACCCTTGAAATGTCGTCTCTGACTACAGGTGATACTACCATGATATCAAAACTTACTGAGTTAACCAGATATGCTTTATTTGAAAAGGTGAAGTATTTCTTCTACATCTGTATCAACTTACACTTATTGTGTGTCCAAAATGGGAATGATCACGACTTTTACCAACTTGAAAATGGTCTCTATTTAAAACCACTGGAGGATTTCAATGCCCAAATTTCATAGAAAAAGAACATGGAACATGCAGAAAATATGTTCAGAATTAATCATAGCATCTCTACTTCATTTACATTCTGATGACCATAATATTCCACAAAGTCTAACAGAAAAGCTCAAGAGACACATCTCCAGTTAACCAACACAAAAGCCAAGAAGTAGCAGTGTGATTCAAGTGGTAGAGCTACCACTTTGAGTGGAAAATCAAAAGTGATAAAATCTATATATGATCTTGGACAAGAATCCAGGCCTTGGTGATGAATATGACATTGACAAATGGATTTGCTATAGACATATACTTGCTAATAGTTTGGAAAGTTTTGTTGTTATTGTTGTTAACTTTCAGGACTGAAGATTTTCCTCAAATAACTATGGTTCTGATTGTAGCAATATTGATAGCTGATTTTGTGATCTTGGATGGGGAATTCAATGTACCTCTCTAATGATATATTCAGTTTACCAAGACTCGTAGGAGAGGAAATATGAAACATCATTTAATAAGAAACGTTATTTTTTTCCAAGCATTGTTGGGTTCATTCTTGTTATCTTAAGTATTCAAGGAGGCCGAGATTTTAGGATTGTGATTTGAAGCTAGCTAGGGCAGAAAAGTTTGTGAGATTTTTATACCCAAATAGCTACTTTAAAAATCCAGAAGTGGATTTTTAGCTCAAGCCTCAGAGTGCCAGCTTTAAGTGAAAAGGCTAAGAGATTTTGAGACACTGAGTCCAAGCACTAATACCAGAAGAACAACAAATAAACGAACATCCTGTAGTAAAAGAAAAGAAAACTTTAAATTTTATAATAAATTTATGTAAAACTTTAACAAAAGTAAAGAAAAGAAAAGAAAACTTTAAATTTTATAATAAATTTATGGACCAACTGTGTTCTAGTCTCTGCCCAGGCCACAACACTGCTTAGATCTCCCAACTGTGTTCTAGTCTCTGCCCAGGCCACAACACTGCTTAGATCTCCTGGCTTGCACATGCATTGTATAAATGCTCTCTATCTCTCTCTATATATACATAAACATGGGGTTCTTGCAAGATATTTAGTATATCATGAACAGGCACCAATTGCCATTCTGTACAGTCTTCAATCAGGTTCTAAATATTTGTTTTCTGGAAAATAGACCAGAAGAGAAATGCCTTAAAATTATGTTTTAAAAGACCTTATTAAATACTTCTGTGCCTTAAAATTATGTTTTAAAAGACCTTATTAAATACTTCTGTGCACTAAAGCAGTCGTTAATCTTCAAGACATGGATCTCCATTCTTCAGTAAATGTAAAGCTAAGAGCCAGTCTTAATAGTCCTTAGAAGACAGATGGCTTTGGATGGTGTATCAGTCACAGATTAGTCAGGGGAAAGAATCCACCCAGTAATTTAAACAAGAGGGAAGTTCAATAGAAAGAACTATGAACTATAGGAAAGTATTGGGGTACTACAGTGTTGGCTTATAAAATAAGAATAACTGCAAAGAATATAGACACAGAAATGTAGGAGAGAGAGCAAAGCATTGTGGGCTCACAGAATGACAAAGGAGTTGTTATGGCTGGGCTTTTGGAAACATAATGTCTGGCTGGACATTGCTGTGGGTTTGCAGGTGACTGGAGATGGATAGAAGTGTCCTCCTTGGTAGGGAAGCTGGGTGCATTACAAGAGCTTGTCCATGAGCACCCAGAATGAACCCAAAATGTGAATACAAAACACTCTGTGCTATATCTTGCACCTTCTGTAGGCTTTCATCTAGGAATTCTGAAGTGAAACAACTACGTGAATGAGGAGCTCCGTTATGGAATACAGTGCTGGTTTTATATCGTATGTGTGCTTATGACTGACTTTAGCCTGGGTATTTACAGTCCCTGGTCTTCAAATCCCCTTTATGGTAAATAGTCCCTCCTTTGTATGAGAGTCCACGCCAATGACATCATCAGTGTTTAAAGATTTGAGTAAAACTTAAAAGAAATCTTTACACACATTTTTTTTCATGGCAAATAACTTTTCTCAGAATCAATAACTATTTTAAAATGTGTTTCATAAGTATTTTTCCTCAATTAATAAGTTATAATTTACAAAAATAAAGTAAGTGAGGCAACCAAAGGTCTGAAACCACTTGCATTCACATCTATGAAAGCAACAGTAATAAATCCATCTATCCAGGTGGGTGAGATTCAGGAAGGAAACAGAAATAGAGGAAGCATCTTTACAGATATCATAAAAGTCTTACTTCATGTGTATGTTTTTAGACCTTTTTATCTAAGATTGTATTCACTGATTATAATTTCTCTCCATCCCTCTCCTTCACCCTCTCTCCCTATTTCCTCCCCACCCTCTCTCATTCTCCGCAATCCCTTCTCTCCCTGTCTCCTTTCTATTTTTTTTGTTGAAATAGGTATTATGCAAGTCTTACTTCATGGTTGTGTGTTCAGATATTTTTCTCTTCTAGTCTTTTATTCATTGATTACCATTTCTCTTTCTCTACCTCTTACTTCCTCCCTCTTTCCCTTCCTCCCTCTTTGCTGTCTCTCTCTCTATTTCTCTCTCTCTCTCACCATCTATCCCTCTCCCCCTGCCACCATTCTTTTCTTCTTCTTGAAGACATCTAAAATAATAGACCCTGTCTTGGAAACTTGTAAATTAATGACAAGTTTCATTTCGCATCTTATTCCTCGTCCTCATCCTTCTCCTTCCTCCTCCTCACCGTTGTTGTCCTCCTCCTGCTCCTCCTACTCCTCCTGCTCCTCCTGCTCCTCCTCCTCCTCCTCCACCTCTTCCTCTTCCTCCTCTTCTTCTCCTTCCTCCTCTTCTTCTCCTTCTCCTTCTTCTTCTTCTTCTTCTTCTTCTACTTCTCCTTCTTCTTCTTCTTCTTCTTCTTCTTCTTCTTCTTCTTCTTCTTCTTCTTCTTCTTCTTCTTCTTCTTCTTCTTTCTCCTCCTCTTCTTCCCACCACCCCTTTAACAAATAACTGATTAGAATTCATGGTCTTTTGCTTGCTAGGCAGTGCTCCACTACTGAGCTATATCCATAAGTAATTTCTAATGTTTAAGTATTCTTTACTTAGGGATTCAAAACTTTTGCACAGGTCAGAATGGACCTTAATTCCTCTTTTTTATTGTGAAAATACTGTACAGAGGGGTTACAATTACATGGGCAAGATAATGAATACATTTCTTATCAAGCATTGTAGCCTCCTCCTTTGTTTACCCTTCCCATCCTCCCCCCCCTTCCACCAATCCTCCTCCCTCCTGGACCTTAATTCTTCTACCTGAACTTCTCATTGTGAAGACTACAAGCATATATTCTCAGGCTCAACTGTTTTGTTTTGTTCCTTGAGTCAAAGTCTTTCTAACTTTGTACCTAAACATTCCTGTAATTTCAGAGGGAAGGATTTCATTTTTGAAGGCCAAGTTGGATGAAAAAAATAAAAACAAGTTAGCAAGCTCTCCTCTCAACTTAATTCACACTTAAAGACTATAGTGGTATGCAAATGCAATCCCAGCTATGAAGGAGATATATGGCTTATATAAAAAAATTGTGATCTTGGCCTAGGTAAAAAACAGAGGACCGAGGGAGTCTGGGAAGATGGCGGAGGAGAAGCTGGAGTCTAAGTAAACTCTCTCATAGAAAGCAGTTTTAGAGTTCCAGTGAACAGTCCTAAGACAGAGAATTACACCAAGTGTGCCATCACAGGACAGAGAGTTAGACCAGAGAAGGAAACCTAGGCAAGGAGACACTTCTGAGCCCTTGCCAGAAGCCGCCCCAGCAGCGGCAGCTGTGGCGGTGGCGGGCGAGCCCAGCCGCCAAACCTGAGCAACAGAGAGTCCAGGACAAAGGAGCCAGAGGCAGCAGGCGAGCGGATTCTACTCATCACCAGCAAGAACCGACAAGGAGCAGACATCTTCATCCTGTAGTTCACAGACTAGAGACGACCCAGGAACTAAGACTTGGCGTGAGTAGAAGCCTGACATCCTCACTCCTTCTCAGAGAGCAGAGGTGGGAAGGCCCCCCTCCCCCTCCCGAGCACCGGTGATCTCCATCTTGGATACCGACAAACCTCGGCAGAGCTGCTAGCTCCAGCTCAGGCCTTGGAATAAAACGAGTCATTTAGCAGGTCACAGAACTTAACTGCAGCATGACCTACCAGACTCAGCTCCACCCAGGGAGAAGTCACCCAGCTCGGGCGCCAGCCTGAGGAGTGGGTTTCTTCACTGGGTAATCATGGCCAGAAGCTGCCCCTCCCTCTAGCAGCCTCGACAAGCAATTGAAAGTCAGTAAACAGAATCCCTGAGATTGGCTCTAGACTGGGCTCTGTGAGGTTTTCACAAACCACCCCCAGAAAAGCTACCAGAACCTAGACTCATCACTGCATCCCCCTCTTTTGTGATACTCAAAGCAGATCCGTCTCCCAATTAAATAGCCTGGGAGGAGGATCGCAAAATCCTGGGTAAAGCAGAGCATTTTACTGCCTTTTCGAACAAACTGACTTAAGAAAAAAACCAAGCCACAGGACCACAAGCAGACCAGAGACTCCAACAAGAGGCTGGTTACAGACACAAGGAGATACAGGATTTTTCCCACACCTCCAAAAAAAAAACAATGAAGTTTTTCTTTTTTTTCTTTTCTTTTTTCTCTTCTTCTTTGTCTTCTTTTCTTTTCAGTTTTTATTTTTGGTACCTTATATAAAAAAAACTTTTTTTTCTATGCTAAAACTTTTTTCAACCTTTAATCTTTGCCTTTTTTGATAAAAAAATTGTTTTCCAGTAACATTCTTTTCCTCTTATAATTATTATTTTGGGGATACGGGAGTGTGCGTTTTTGCTTTCTTTTTATCGTCTTCTTTCTCTTTTTTTTCTTTTTAAATTATCTTTTTGTTTTTTGTTTAGCTCTACTGAACTTCTCATCTTTTTCTTCTTCCTTTCTTATCCGTTTCACCTTCTCCTCTCTTTCATTATTCTTTATATGACTAAATTCTTGTCTTCCACATCCTCTGATAAACCCGTAATTGAATATTAGACCCTATCCCCCATTGTGTACACATTTAATCCACAAATTTATTACTCAAGTCAAAACCTCTAAGACTTAAATTCCTTAATAGCAGTACTACCTCTTTATACCTATATAATATTTTAAGCATTTTTATTTTTAAAATTTTCACATCTCCTTTATATACCTCCCCTTCTCTCAATAAGTTCATGTTCTTATCTAAATAGATTGTTATCGACTCTACATAATTTTATTAATTTCTACCTTTCTATTTGTTCTGGTCTCTTTTCTTTTCCCTTTCCCTTTCTTTTTTTCCTCTCTCCCTACTTTCATCCTACCCAACTTATTTCCTGCTATGAGATTAAGACTTAGTTAACTCTCCCTGAGCCTCCCCACATCAATCTATTCCTAATTTTTACCCACATCTCTCCTTAACCCTAATAATTTCTGGTCTTCCAAATTC